TTGCTGCATTTATCTTCCAAACCTTTTTCAGTTCAACACACAGAATCCCTCAAGTAAATTGTTGTTACTGGCAAGCCGCGCTGATATAAGTAAGGTTGAAAACATTTTGTTTCAATGTGCTGTGTTGGCAACAAGAAAAAGGAACATTGCAGCAAGATGACATGGTGCAATACCTGAGTGCCGATATAAAAGATATTTCACACATAAATCATGAACAATAATTATACTGTGCTGCAGAGCACATGTATCTGAGCATTTACTCCAGGATGTATACCAGAATCTGCTGAATTTTGGTGGGATTACACCATTACAAAATTCACCTAAAACTAAGCAAAACTTCCTAGGCTTTCAGTACAGACAAGGAAGAGAAAGAGATTTGGAAGAGGATGATTTGTTTCAGTGGGTAATGTGCCTGGTATGAATTATCCCTGGGAGACACCTTTTCTTCTCCACTGACTATAAAGGGAGACTGAGGTGACCAGATTAGACTCAGAAAACTAACTTTGAGGCAAAGTTAAAGAAGATGTATCCCATGCTTCATGTCCAGGGACAAATACCATGACTGCAATTAACAGATATATAAAAGTGCATTTTTTTAATAGGAAAATAATAAACAGATACATGTGGATATATGTTTTAACAGTTCTAATTTACAATTTAGATTTCACTCAGTAATGAGCAATATTTATAGGATCCCAATTCTCAATTGACACACCACCAAATGATAGTAAAAGTTCCTAGGCACTAGCAGTGCTGTAATGTCTGTGGTACTTACGGCTCCAGCTAGCCCAACTCTGCATCTGCCCCCTCCCTTCTGTCTCCCAAAGGCTGAGATCATGTATCTTGGGTGGACTGTCCACTCCAGCAGCAGGGGCTTCAAACGGTGAGTAGGATTGCCCACCCGCCTTAGCTTTTTGTGTCCCTCCTTTGCTCCAGCAAAGAGCTGGAGCACACAGAGCTGCCACTCAGAGAGGGTGTGTGGATCTCAAAAGAGGATTGAGCTAGGGAAAGGTTGTGTGCTGGAATAGTCAGTCTCTCAATCCCGGGAACAGGAGAAGAGGACAAGGAGGCCCCAGTGCCCTCTGGCTCACTTTATTCTGCAGCCTGTACCAAACAATGAAGTCACCAAGAGCTCAAATGTGGAGTTAATGATGAGAAAAAGAAAATGATATCCCGGGCCAACACAAACCACCCTGAGCCTCCCTGGCCTCATCTCCAAACAGTTCAGCAGTGCACAGTACTGTTTGATTCCAGCATCAGTTGAAACAGTGTTTCCCGTCCCCACCTCTAAGGCACTGCTTAGCAGAAACCAACCTCCTGACTAATACAGGATGGGAGCCATGTTCCCAGCTTCCTGGGAAACTTGAAACTACCTCTTCTCACCTGTGGCAGCAAGTGTTCGAAACACAGATGAGAATCAGATTTAGCCTTTAGGAAAGGCTGTTCTTCCTTATGACATTACTAGCTTAAACATCTTTTTTTTTTAGGCAAAATATGAAATATCATGCTTTAAAATTACTGCTTCTTTGACTCCTAAGACACCTATAGAACATCTACCTGTTATCAACTGAAGTACAGGGATATTCTCCCCATCTACTGCATTATCTGTTAGATGCCGCTGTGCTGATTCGCGCACAGTGGAGGGAAAAAAGCAGTCCCTGCTGCAGGAGGGTTAGTCCAAGAGTCCATTCTTCTAAGCACATAGATGGACAATAGCTTAAAATTTGAGTTAGATCCTGAAGATTTGTGGAATCTTTTGAAAATTTTGGGTTTGCAGGTCAGAGATGTTTCCTAAAAAGCACTCAAAGCACTTTTCTAGCCATGATACTAGCCTTGGAAGAGAGTACAAGGATAAGAATGCTAAGCGATAATGAAAGCAGTATGTTTTGTTTATATGAAATATGACCTTTCCATCAGGATGAATGCTTCTGAGATTACATCAAACAACAGAAAACTAGGAATTAACTCCTTGAGGTAAAAAGAGTGTGCTAGTTATTTTGTAAAAGACCTTTTCAGTTGCCTCGAATCAACACCTTCAATAGGCAGGTGTGAGAACTTCTCACATTTAAGGTCCAGTCAACAGAAGATGGACTCGTGATGACTTGCTTATGCTGGAATAGGTACTTCAGAAAGCATTAGTGAGGCAAAGGCTCTAGGGAAGTCAGGCAAATAAACAAAAACAATAGCAAAGGTGTCACTGAAGGAAGAGTCAAGTCTGGCTCAACAGACTGGTAAATGGACTTGAAAATGGAAGCAACACGGTACAAAGAGAATGGTAGGAACTGGATGGAAGCAGGAGTGGTCTGAAAGAAGGTAATGAGGGATGAAATAAGTAAGGCAGAAGATGAAGACCAAAGCTAGGGCAATTGTTTTAGTTCCAAGAGTGTGAAGGTATCACGATTTTTAAGGAAGTTACAAAGAACATTGCAAAGTGGCAAAGAAAATTATATGAGACTGCAAGCCTGTGAACAAAGCCCTGGGCTTTTTGTCCTGGTTTGGCAGTCCATGTTGGGAGTTCCACAGTGCCAGTAAAATACCACAGATGTACCATGCAGGCACCAGAAATATGACAATTAAAACTACTCTGAGAACTCCCTGACAGCAAAGCATGACATGGTGACCTCTGAGTCACTCAGCTCCCTGACAGCAAAGCATGACATGGTGACTGCTGAGTAGGTATACTCTGAGGAATGGAAAAGAAATCTTCTATGGTGATACAAAAAGGCAAAAATAAGTTCAAGCAAAGAGAAAAAATAAGTTGAAAAGAGTTGGGAGGCAGGAGCAACACTGGAAGACACAAGGAGATGCAAGAAACTGGTACAGTCAATTTAATCGTACTGGTTTGTTTTTAGTAATGAAATGACAGGGTCAGAGAGGAGACATAACAGTCCTCAAATACTGAAAAAGTGATGAAAATAGAACAAGAGTAATCATGTTCTTAGACAGAAAAAAGAAGCAATGGACACAAGCTGAAGGGAGATTGTTTGACACTAATAAACATTTTTGATTGACAGATGATCTGGGTATGATGTGACCCTCCATCACCAGAGATCTTTAAGAACAAGTGAGACAAACAGTTTTGGGAATCATGTAGGTATAACGATATCCGTCTGCAATCCTGCCCTGTTTCCACTGGAAGGGATGGGATGGACAAGATGATCTCTATCAGTCCATTAAGTCTTTCAGCACTATAGTCCATGACTGTGAAAAAGAGGCTGAATGAGAGAATGAGAGAATAAGCAAAAATTTCAAGAACATCAGCAGGAATAAGTGGCAGAGGATAAGATACTGAACTTAAAGACTGTATGTCCACATCGCCAAGCGCACCTACAGCACTAGTATCAATGGGAGGGACAGGCCCATAATGACAAGAGTCACGGGCTGGCTCAGCTGAGCAGCATAGGATCATAGAATCATAGAATCATTAAG